TACGTCAAACTGACGGTAATCAAAATTGTGTGTCGATCTCCAGCACAGAAACCATCAACAAACACATTCAATAACACGAAATCATCCATATCAACAGGAATCAATCATCAAATCATCACACAAACGCATTGGGATCCATTCTTTTACCCAAATAAGCCATGGTCACGCACTCACCTTAGGAAAACGGTTATAACACGCGTTTCAAATTTCAGGTTTAACCAAACTCGGTGGCTCTGGAAAGCTAAGACTCGGGGCTTTCCAATGATACCTAGATCTTCTTCTAGATCCTTACAAAATGATGGTAAAACAGCCCGCAAGTTCGTTGTTCGGAACTGGAATAGGAAATTCCAGTCTCAGAAAACATGAACGACACGTTGACATCTAAAGAATACAAAGAACGGAGCTTACATCGGAAACAGGATCGAAAACCTATTATGAAAACTAGACAGAGAGAACTTTCCATAGATAGGCAGATCGTCTCCTAACTCCTTCTGGTTCAACGGGAATCCTCCCTCGAAATAGACTGATCGCAGACCGAAAACTGCATAAACATCTCATAGTAAAACGACGATAACTCTTGGAATACTAATCCAAATGACAAACCGATTTCTCCAAAAGCTAGATACGAGAGTGGAGAACGTACCCTAGACGTTTCGATCCAATCCGGTCCGATATTCCCAGCCGTTCGTCTCCCCTTCTAAAATCGGATAGAACTGTTTTCAAAGCAACAATCTCTTCTTCTCTCTCACAACCTATGAAATCCTCTCCTTTTCCTCTCCAAAATTGACTACAAAAACGTCTTCATGAGTTTTTATATCATGCCCTAGGGTTCCCTAAACTGGACGCTAGACCAAGGGATCAAGAACCGAACTTGTCGGTTCGATTTCAACTTGCGTCGATCGACTTGCCAACCAAAAATACACATTTTGGTTCACGGGCGGTACAATTCTCCCCCACTAACACGGATTCGACCTCAAATCACACAATACCGTCCCTGCTAAGGCTAACACTCCCATCCAAAACATGACCAGCTTCACCCAAAAACACACTAGAATGCAATGTTTTCTGGTCCAGACCAGGCTTGCCTGATTGATTGCACAACAATCAAAAAAGAACATGCCCGACCAACCGTAGACCCAGAGTTGAACCAATTGATCGTGCAACAATCAAATAAGAACATGCACGACCAAGACGCTACATAAGTTACCAGGGTCATCTGAACCGAGGTTCCCA